GTCATAGCAATTACTTTGAAGTCTCCACATATTTTCCATTTGTATTCATTGTATTGTAATGAATTTATCATCCTTCATAAGAATTTGTAGTTCTCTTTAGTCAAGCTGGCATAAGTAACTGGAACAGAGGGCATTTTATTTCAATTGTGGAGAAAAACACCCTTGAGACTTATTTTCAATGCATCTATAAAAAGTCTCCACTCCTGTGAACTGTAGGTGAAGTTCAGCACCTTCATTAGGCCAGCAACATCATTGTCACGTTCGATTATTACTGCATGCAGCAACATACACATATTTCTCTATAACGTCTGTGTTTGCCATGAACTGTGAATATATACATATATATATATACACGTTACACAAAAAGTACCCCTGACAACAAAATTCTGTTTCCAGTTTTGAATTTCCCATGATAAATTGGTTTAGAATCACACATTTTAATATCAGAAATAGAACCCTTGTCAAACAGTGTAATCAATACGTAGCTTATTTGTGCCAGGACTCTGAAAATTCTTTACTTGTCAGAACCTGTAATATATGGAATAATTGTGCTTACGCTGTCTTAATTTTTAACCATGCCTAGTAGCTTCAATAAATGCGTAACGCGCAGATTGTGCAAATTGGGCAAAGATACAAACGAGTATAAAATCTGCAAGTATGAAGTTTTACTTCATAAACCTGATTATTAAAGCCAAACGAATTGCCGAATTATTGAACTATAAGCTTGATGCTGCTATTAAAGCAGCCTTGGTAGACAAATCAAAAATACTAGAGAGCAAAAGAAGTACTACAATCTCAAAAACAAACTCGAAATCTTCCAGGCTACAGGTGAAAAAACACATAATATCTGTCTTCTCTTAAATGCATTAAACACGATTCCAATCACATCAATTGAATCGGAAAGGGCATTCTCGGTGGCAAGANACACGTGCGCACCCTGCTGTATGTAAACAGAGAGGTCAGGTCTCGTGCTGACGTCACTAACTTGGCATTCCTGGCTAACATTGTAGAATAGGGATCTGGCTATCCTTTTAGTATATAGTCCTTGGGGCAAGATAAGTGTTTTATTAGAGACGAGAGGATTGAAAGAGCAAAATCAAATTTAACAATTTATGCGCTATATCAAATATGAGAAAGATGAATTGGAATTGGAATTAGAACTTTAAAAGAAATTTGTAAAATATTTAAATTTTTTCATAAGTATTTATTTTAAGTACGAAAATATATTTAAAGATTACATTTATTTTTTCAGAAAGTATATGTTCAATCGTTTTTTTATTTTAATTTTACTTATTTTGTAAAGTTTAATAGCAAAAATAATTTATACCACATTTAAAAAAAATTTAAATAGTAAAAGTTTTATAAATTTAACAAAAAATATTTTTATTTTCGTTTTTAATTAAATCGAGATTTGTACGGTAGGTAGCGATGTGTTCATCTTAGCAACGGAAGGCAACGAGCACCGGGTAAACATGTCGGACGCAGACGATGATTTTATATGTGATGATGAAGAGGATTACGGTTTGGTATGTCGTAATAAATATCGTATTTCCGTACAAAAATACACATATGGATCTATGCTACTTATGTACACGTAACGTCAAACATAATATATTTAAGGAATATGTATTGTTCAATGTTTTTTGCTAAGCCTATTTAACTCTTCGTAGGTAATCTACAGATTTTAATTTTCTCCAATATAATTCACGTATCTGATAAGGATGTTGTTTATCAAAAATTATGAACGCCTTCCTTATTATTTTTGTAATAAAATTACAAAAAAATGCTTGACAAAAGTAATAAATCTGTGATTTCTTCTTACTTTCATCGTTCAACAAATAACAATTAGATTAAGTATTTATAAAACACTTTAATTGTTACATTCAAGTGATATAAACTTAAAACACTTACTGTTATATTACTGTAGATCAAACTTACATCATAATATATTCATTTTGATACTGGTAGAAAGTTATCATTTTAATCAATTAATAACTTGTCAGTTTATAAAAAGATATAAAAATTACATACTTGAAACATAATCAATTGTTTAATATTGTGTTCGATTTCAATTATATTGTAAAATTACTAGAACATATAAATACCGTATTTACTCGTGTATAAGACAAGGTTTTTATTCATTTTTCACTGCTTCAAAAATCTAGATCGTCCTATACGTAAGTAAATATGGTATATCTTTAAAAATTTTCTAAATATATATATAAAAAATTATTATTTGTTTGTTCTGATTTAAATCAGAATTAACAAAGTTTTTTGTAGACTTTATTCTTGGAGTTTTATAGTTCAATTTTCTTACATGTNGAAAGTTATCATTTTAATCAATTAATAACTTGTCAGTTTATAAAAAGATATAAAAATTACATACAACATAATCAATTGTTTAATATTGTGTTCGATTTCAATTATATTGTAAAATTACTAGAACATATAAATACCGTATTTACTCGTGTATAAGACGAGGTTTTTTTTTTTTTAATTCATTTTTCATTGCTTTGAAATCCTAGATTGTCCTATGCATGCGAGCGATGGATTCTTTGCATTTTTGTGAACCATGTATTTTCTTTTTTTTACCGGATGCTCACCCTCTGGTGTTTAATAATTTTTATCTGGGTCGTTTGAATCGTTCTTGTGTATTGCTGGAAGTAAAAATGAATACCATTAGGAAAAGCAAAGCTTTTGAATTGAATTCCAAATTGAAATTAAAAAATCACACTGGAGTCCAATATAAGTTTTAATCCATTGCCACGTGAAAACGGATGATTATTCAAAAATCAAAATTTGGAAAAACTCGTAAGTGTAATCGACGGAGAGTGGATTTGACTGTTAAGAATTGGCAAAAAAAGATTCTCCATTGTCTGGCTTTATACAAACAAATTTTGTTGTTGATTTTACGAGATTTTTTCCTTAAAGATCAAAATACTAGTAATTTTTGTGGGACAATGTGTGCATTTATGTGCATTTGATATTTTATTTGTGATTAAATGAAATAAAATTAAACTGTATTAATAAATCTAATTTTCTTTATTTTGATCTTTAAAGTCACACCTTGTCCTCTATGCTAGATCGTCCTATACGTAAGTAAATATGGTATATCTTTAAAAATTTTCTAAATATATATATAAAAAATTATTATTTGTTTGTTCTGATTTAAATCAGAATTAACAAAGTTTTTTGTAGACTTTATTCTTGGAGTTTTATAGTTCAATTTTCTTACATGTTAACAATATTTGATTAAGTTTTATATCTTATATGTTGTTTAACGTGTCATACTAAATGTTGGCTTGATTTGCTTTTAAATTGGATAAATCTCTAAATATCATCAAATAAAATGTTTAAGAATGTTTTCAATATTTATGGCTTTTCAAATAAAGTTAATTAATATCAAAAGTAACTTTATTAATATTAAAGGTGTTTTGACAATGAATTATCATATTGTCAATTTTTCTGATTGATGATTAGTTCACAAGCTGTGTCAGCAGCATTTTTTTTTTCTTGTTTAGAATAAACTACTCCATAAGAAAATTTAAAAATTTTATTTTATTTTTACAGTGACAGTAAGTAAACATTTTATATTTATTACACACTGATTTTTTAAAAGTGAAATTTTGAAGCTCTGTTTATTTTTAAAAATTTAATTACTGATCATATTCAGACATAGCATATGTAAGTTGATAATCTTACACAGCATCATTAAAAGCGAAAACTAAACACGTGCGCACCCTGCTGTATGTAAACAGAGAGGTCAGGTCTCGTNTTTTATATAAAACTTATATTATTAATCTATTCAATATATTTGTCTAATTCAAAAAAACTAAATGGATTTTTGCATTTGAATAACAGTACATTATAGTACTATATTATTTTATACAAACATATAAAAGTAAATAGTACTTTTTATTGAGATTTTCTTATTAAATCCTCTACTTTCATTTTCATTCATTTAAACAAATTCTTATAAAGAAAAATTTAAGTTCTGTTTGAATGTAAGATCTTAAATTTTTGAATAATAATGTAATATTTTGTGTACATTCATACATACACAAATCTATAATTTTAACTTAAAATGCTCTTATAAAAGAGTAACTTATATATCACTTGATTTATGATATAAAATAGCATGTAAATTTTTAAATAAATATAAAAATTTGGTAATAATATATATTAATAAAATAAATGATTATACAAGCATAAAAACAAACTAAATGAAAATATAACTGAAATAAATTAAGCAAATAAATAAATTAAATAAAAAACATACAGTACAAAATTAATAAATTATTTATATACAAAATCCTAAAAGTTTAATTAAACATATATTTAAATGTGTAGAAGTTCTATTAGTTTTTGACAAATAAAATTGAAAATAACATATCACTATAGTCAGAGAAATCTATGATCCATTATCTAATGTTATAAAGTGTTATTTTTATAGTAATTAGAAAATGGATTATATTAACTTAGTATAATATTACCATATATAGGATATAACATTTACAGTGAAAAACTGTAACAAAAAAAAATGCTTTCTCTAGTAGTATTCTTTTTACTAATTAATTACAAGTAACATAATTGTAGTTTTTCTTTGTTTTCTTGTATTCTTATATTAATATTTGCTGTATTTTCTAAGGAAATATATCAAAAGAATTTTCAGTTTACAAAAGAATATTTTCAATTTAAACTTGATCGTAAGGTAAAAATTCAATTAATCGTATAGTTTTATAATTTTATACAGTATATTTATTTAGATCAGTGTTTCTCAACCTGTAACGAATCGTCACCCCTCTCAACGTAGTATCGCCCCCTTCAATAAAACCGTTATGTAGTATCGCCCCCTTCACTTCAAAATTTCGATGCCGAGGGCCAAGGCTAACACCATATTCATACTGCATTGAATAGAATAATGACTAGTATAATGTTAATTGTTTAATTATTGTACGATATAATGAATAAAATATCTAATTATTCTTAATATAATGTTTTACTATATCGCCCAGAAAATTGTTTTTCGCCCCCAAAATATAAATTGTTACAAATCGCCCCCTCAACATGGAAAATCGCCCACATGGGGGCGATATCGCCCCCGTTGAGAAACACTGATTTAGATTTTTCTGTCGAGCACTTACATTTACCTAATGTTTCTTTTAAGATATATGTTTTTTGTATTCAAATAATAATTTCATTTTTCATTTTAGAACTTCTGTATAGAATACTCTCATTCATCATTTACATCCTCAAGTTTTAATCTATAAATTTTCAAAAGAAAACAATTCTGTTTGAATTGCTTTCTTTGTTAATTTTATATATNAAAAGTGAATTATACAAAATTCATAATGTAAGATAAGCATAAGATTAGAAGAAAAAAATTATTAAAATAAACAAAAACTTATAAACAAACAAAATAATAATAAAATGAAATTACTGTTTATGTGAAAGAAAAAACTATATATATATATATATATATATATAGTTTTTTCTTTCACATAAACAGTAATTTCATTTTATTATTATTTTGTTTGTTTATAAGTTTTTGTTTATTTTAATAATTTTTTTCTTCTAATCTTATGCTTATCTTACATTATGAATTTTGTATAATTCACTTTTACCATGTGTTTTATGTACAGTACATAATTATATATTACTATCACTCTTTTTCTGGTTTTGTTCATTTTGATTGTTATCCTAATATTTGTGTTTTATTCTGTAAATAATAGAGTAATTTCCCTTTTCGTCATTTCTAGCCATAATTTACCTAGTAGAATATTTTAAATATTTCCTATATTCTATAACAAAAGAAAACGATGGAAGAAATTGTGATTTTAGTATCCTTTCTCACTGAATTGTACAATAAATAGAATCATTTCTTTCTACAGATTTGATAGGCTATTTGGATATAAGATATAATCTGTACTTGAATAGTAAGAATATTTTCATGTTCAAATTATGAATAGATGTATGGAAACAATGTATAAAACTTCTGACTCTGGTTCCTGAGTTTTAAATTTCTGACACTCACTCCAATTTCTCAATTTTGAAATCTATAAGTTAGTCTTGAAAGTTCAACATGTGTTACAGATTGAACCTCACTAATTCAGCAAGTTTGGATGCAGACAGGTGTCAGAGTAACTGATTTTCTGAATCAGTGAAGCTTAAGGTAAATGGCAATGTGGTAATATCTGTAACTGTAAAATAGCATCAACCATTATAAAAAAGCTATGGCAAATGTAAACAATATGGGGAATTCTTACTTTTAAATTTATAAAAACATTCTTAGAATACTTTGTATGAAATAATTAATACTAGAGTGTTGCGGTATGTTAGAATCATTATAGAATACTTTGACATTCTAATTTAGAATGATAGAAATTTTTGTTAAATTTTAGTCAGTATGATCTGAAGTTGGTTTATAAGGTAGGCTGAAAATGTTTGTCCATTGATTAAAATATTTGCTGAAAAAGTGGATAAGATTATTATTCTTTGTGTTTTAAAGTTGATAAGTTCAGATACA